TATTGCAAATTTTCAACGGAGAATCACCTTTGCAAATAAGTGCTTCTTTGGACTAAGTCCACTTTCGGCGTACAAAAATTACACTCTATAAGTCACTCATAATGCCCGTGCTGGTATATGGCGGAGAAGCATGGACAATAAAAAGAACGCGTTGGGAAAATCGCAGACGATGGAGCGATGAGCTGTTGAGGCTTTACAACGATATTGGCATAGTGTGACGAATTAAAATAGAGCGCCCACGCTGGCGCTGGTTATGTCGTACGAATGAACAGAAACGCTCCAGCTCTGAAAGTATTCAACGGGGGTCACGATGCTGGTAACAGAGGAAGAAGGAAGCCTCATCTATCCAGCAAAATTTTGGACTCACTTGGAAATATCTTTTTGGTTTACAGGCACGGGTCGCTGCCAAAAAAAAACCATTGTTGCGACTAGGGATGGAAAGTTTTGAAAAATAATCGATTCTCGAATCTTATCTAATCCTTACGATTCTTGGAATCGGATAATCGACGGCGAGATTCGAATTATTCGATTCTAATCGATTCTTTATTTCAATCTTTCTTTCAGTTGAAAAGTCTATAAAAACGGCCATCAATCATAGCTAATAATGATATTAAATATAATGAATCAGTTAATATTATTATAACCAGAGTTTAAATAGTAAATTTGTGGAAAAACTGCTTCATTTGCTATAAAATGGTGACTGACACATATTCACGATACTGTTTAATATGGAAAGTAAATAAATTTTAATTCCCTCCTTAAAATTGCTTGTTTTCATAAATTCATGCCTACCATTTGCCAATTAGTCTTACTTAACCCTTCTGCAATGTTTGGGTCAAAATGACCCAATTTTCATGAAAACATTCTTTAATTACAGAGTTAGACAATTTTAAATAAGCGGCGGTGTTGTCTATTCGTTAAATGCATAATCAGCTATAGTTTTGCAAAGAATAAAAGGGTTTTTTGTTTTATTTTGTTTTCTAGAAGCCAACATAGTTTTTTCATCCACCCAGAGTGTTTCTGGATCCAAATTATTACTTAGTATTTAAGAGCAATTTTGAACAGGTAAGAATACAGCACTTTCCGATAAAGTGTCTGGCTATGATAAATAAAATACTAACTGAATAAAATCTTTTATTTTCTTAAAATTTAATAATTTCTATTATTGGGTTAAAATGACCCAAAACATTATACGAAGGGGTAAATCCCAAACACTGCAGAAGGATTAACATTTATGGTAGTCATGTCAGAAATTTCACAATTCTAACAACTGACGCGTATCTAAAGATGTGAGAAAAATAGGAGAATCGAGTTCTCAGAATCGATTCTAGATCTATTCCGAACATTTAGAATCGGTTCTCTAAAATCAATTATTTCGAGAAAATCTTCGATTCTAGAGTGGAATCGGAATCGATTTTTCCATCCATAGTTGCAACCGGTAAACGATGTTAACGATTCAAATGGGCAAAATAACATAAAAATTGGATGGAAACAGGTGTTAAGTTTGGTGGTGGCAGTGTGATAGTAAAGGGGTGTTTCTGCTACAATGGTGTCGATAATACAGGTTTACAAAAAAAAGTTTCTGCATATTGAACCAAACCTCTTTATCCCTGTTATTCGACGCGCTGAATGCGAATCCGAAATCTGTTAGCCTTCATAACGCCAGGTTCGAGGTCATTTGAAGGTCAAGTAGCGAAAATTTATTGAATAAACCTAAAAATTCAATACAAATCTTCCGAATTTGATATATGCATTTTTATTTCGTATTCAACAATTTTTTTCCTATTTGACCCTCAAATAACCTCGAACCTGACTTTATGGAGGTTAATGGACCTCAGATTCGGGTTCAGCGAGTCGAAAACCCCATTTATATGAGTTTTCAGCTTTATTCAATTAATTTTTCCCTACTTGACCTTCAAATGACCTCGAACCTGACGTGATGGTAGTAAAAGACCTCAGACCGCATTCAGCACGTCGAATGACACTGAAGAGCAAAATCCGAACAATAAAACGAAAATTAAAATTTGTGGTAATGTACTTTTTCAATTTACTAAATTTATGGTAATTCAAATTTGTATTTCGCTTTACCGATGTTTAACTTAACCTTTGGCAATAAAAATTTGTAGATTCGAATATGGAAACTCAGAAAAAAATGATCAAATGAAAATGAATTGGATTGTTACAGTTTTACACGCTCTTAGTAGTTGCCGAATTTTATAATTCAAAGAGGAGTTCTGGCTCATTTCCTGAAATTTTGTAATCAAGGTGCGTGGGATTTTCGCTGTGCGTACAAGCAAAATACCAAGCAAAAAATTTTAAAAGATTTTGCAAAACGGTCTGGAAGTCCACGCCATAAACAAAGAAATCATATCAGCAAATTTCCGTTTTATGGTTATCTAAACAAGCGATAAAAGGGCGGACATCACTCACCAAGGTCAAGAAATCACCAAAAAATGCAATTGCCAGGCTAGGCATATTGGAGGTATCTTCATACCAATTAACTTTGGTTCCAAATCAAAAATTACTGCTTTTTCACTACAAAGCAAGTGACTGGGCATGATGTAAGACGTGGAAACAAGTTGCTGCAGATAAAGAGGAGGAAGTCTGCCCTAACAACCAGAAACATGTCAGAAACGCATTTTTACCAAAAAAAACGCATAGGATTGGTATTATTTTGAAGCGGGCATTCTTCCCAAACGGCAACACCATCCCACCAAAATTTAATATTAATTAATATTTTAACTGTGGGGATAAAGTTCAACGTTTTCTGTTGGAATTTGGTTCAGGTGCTGTGGAAATGCATCAGGGGTACGCCTAACATTGTACATTTAATAATGTAGAACCGTATTAAGCCTTAGTGAGCAAGAACTGTGGTAAAAAGGAAAGTGACAGTAAATGAGCATTCTCTACAAATGACAATGATCCGAAACATTCTCCGAAGCTCGGACCAATTAGGCATAACTCCTAAGTTTTTATAATCATGGAGTGTTAAGGTCTGATTATGCATACTTCGCATAACTTCGCTCAACCATTTGTACCAGTGCAATAGAAATGTAACTTAAAAAAATGTGAAGCAAAATCTAAACAGATCGCTAAGTTTATAAAGGTTCTGCGGGTAATGGAATAGATACAAAATATATACAAAGCGCAACGAAATTACAGTTTGAAGTTTATGCGAAGTTATGCGAAGTATGCATATTGAGACCATTAGGCACGCCAGATTTGAGTCCAACAGAAAATGTATGGAAGTGTTTGAAAATGCTACTGTTCAATTACGCAAATTCACCCAATCGCATGCAAGACTTTGGGCATGGCGTTGAGGAAAACCGGTACGCAATCTCATCAGATTTCATCCAAAAACTGTGCGAGAGTATCCCAAGATGACCATAAAAGCTAATTTATTCAAATTGGTTATGGCAAATTTATTAAAATTCAAGCAAATGGTAAACATTTCTATCGGGTGCAAAACTGTGAACAATTTGGTTGCTAAGCTTCTTTTCAATTTTTATTTATTTATTTATTTATTTATTTATTATATTTTGCGGCCTTCTGATGAATCAAACATTGGAAATGTGAAATCCGAAGCTAGAAAACAAAAAGTTCACATTATGTATTACTGTTACGGTTTATCTCCTCAGTGTAGGTTTGGTTCAATATGCCGAAACTCTTATTTTGCAAACCTGTGTGCACTCTAAAAAGTGCATGTAAAACTACTGCTGAAGAGTGGATATTTTTCAACCAGAATCATGATTTGATTTTAAACATGAGATTTTGAAAATATAAAACCGCGTCGTTTAAAGTACAAAACCGCGTATCGTCATTCTGCAAAACCGCGTAACTGACTTTGGCTGCCAAAAATTGGATTTGCTCACACACGCTCTTGGCTAAATCCTTATCCATTCGTCCTGAAATATTCTAGCCATAACCATTTTGAAATATGAGTGTTTTTACTCTCTAGAAAATAATGTATGAAACCTCACATACGCGGTTTTGCATTTTGTTGATACGCGGTTTTGTACTTTAAACGACGATATATATAAATATAAATTAAATATAAATATAAATATAAATATAAATATAAATATAAATATAAATATAAATATAAATATAAATATAAATATAAATATAAATATAAATATAAATATTCTACTAATAATAAACTTTATGTGCTCATATTTACTCAATTTCAAACATTTTAATGTAATTTTGCTGTACGCGAGAAATTTGGTATGTAAAAGTAAACAGACAGTGTTTAATTTTGCACATTATATCATAATATGCGCAAATTTAAACAAACATTTTTTAGACTGTAATTAAAGCGATAAATACAAAAAAGTAAGTCCAAACTTTTGCGGGGCAGTGCAGATATGTATTTATCTATAGTTTTTGATGTGTTTGCTTTTACATACGTAAGCTGGGATCGTTTGATCGAATCCCAGTGAAGAAGTCTGATGAGGAGATGTGGTGATCTCGGAAATCGCAGCTATAACTTCCACCATTTATAAATTATTGTTGTTTTTCCACAATAATTTTTCATTAAAAACGGCCTCATTCTCAATCAAAATTGTATAGTATCATTTATTAGGCAAAAAAATACCAAAAACAAAATACATAAACAAGTTGTGTAAATGTTGTAGCCGCTGAAGACGATCTCTGACGGAGATTGAAATGTATTAGGAAAATAATATAATTTCATTTATTTTTAAAGAAAATTAAACGACTTTAAATTAACTTTTTATACCTATTTTATAAACAAAAATACTTGACAACGTAATTTTTTTCTTTTTTCGTGCACACTCTTTATATTAAACTTAAAAACCACATAAGTTTTAAGCAAACAAACTAGTAATTTTTGGGACCAGCCTTAAGGTACCACCTTTCCGATAAAAAAGAATTATCACGGTTCACGTGGTTCAAAGTTATTAGTTAACATACAAAAAAAACTACAAGTAAAAATATATTCGGTTAAATTGTAAAATTCACCTTTTTTGCTCATTAATTTTTTCTCAACAATGACCCGGCTAATCAAAGTTTATACAAAAATATATCTGCTATAAGAAATTAAAAAGCAAAACGCGCCGTACTTGCGATTTTACATGGCTTGGAGAGTCTTACCAAAATACAGAAATGGTATTTTCCGCCAATTTTTTAAGAGGCTAACAGATGACCTAGAAAGCGTGTCAGTTTACATTTGACTCTAAATTTCACTCAGTGCGGACTGCCGAATCATTAAAAGATCATTTTCATATTCTGGTAAGAAGTATTTTTTATAAATATTTATTAGAAAAAGCGTTGATATTATTACTGTATATGAAACAGAAGTCGTTACCAAATCGCATTTAAATCAATTTAAGTGGAAAATCATATTTTTATCTGAAAAAATAATAATTTTTCACTTAAATTGCTGGTAAAACCAGCAGTAAGTATTCCTTATTTTTGTTGTTTAATCATTATCGGCGATCTTTTCTATCAATTCGCACTTATATATGCTCAATCAGCATATTGCAGTTATTAGAAAACAAAAACATAAAAGCATTGTGCAAATTTTTATTTTCGGGTCATTGCATTGGAAAAACGATTCCAATTATGAATGTGCCCCGTTTCGCCGTGTGACCTTAGTTTATAAATGTGCAACTTGTTCTTCGCTACACTAAATACTATACGCCAGCATGATTAATTCTAGTTTATGTTGCTAAGTATATTAACACATTATTACGCACGCACATGCATTATGAGCTTTTGCGCGTTCAATGTGCGAAGTATTTAGCTTCGAATGTATGTATTTACAAAACTGTTATGATGCATTCACGGCTCACGACTTTAGACTCTATTTTATGGTAATTTAAGCTTTCGAGTGGATATTCTATGTTTTCCTAAAATTAAATGTACCTGTTTATCGTTCTCAATTTAGTTAATACTAAAGATGATTTACTTTAATTTACGCTTAATGTACGCTTTATAAATTAAATTTTACAGTACTATTTCTAAAGGTTCACCGAAATCTTATCACTTTTACACTTACACTAAATTTTTGACTGCGGCAGTATTTAATAAGTGGTAGATTTAACCAAACTCTATTTGATGTAGTGTTGTTCTCTACTTGCCAGACGACGACAAAAGACTGCGTAGAGGCGGAGGCAGAAGCCATGGAGGCAATCGCATTAGCAGATGTCTTTTTCAATCCTACTGTTTTAAACGGTATAAGTTTAACAAATGCAGACTTTAAATCTATCAGTGTTAGCTTTTCTTTTACACTTGTGTGAAATGTGTCTTGCAATACATGAGGCACGAACGCATTTATAGCTAATGAACTTGAATTTGCCGCGCCAGTTGTTCTACTAGGTAATACTGCATTATTTTTTGTAGTGGCGTTTTCACCCAATTGTCTGGTTTCACTAAACTTAAGTATCATCACTTTTTTGTAGTTTAAAATTAAATGCTTAAGATTATGCATATAGCTGAACAGAAAAGGTTTTGAATCGCTTTGCGTTATGTGAAATGAACTTTGAAAATCCAGTGAGGCCTTCACTTGTTGATCTTTTCGGCAGGTGTTACACGAAGACATTGAAATCGGAGTACTACTGCGACTTAACAACCAGCCAAATACATTGACGACCGGCCAGCTTACAGCTGTTCCGATGGCTTTCCATAAGGGCGAAGGTTGTACTGATGTTGCGCCACTGTTGTAGGTGAGCTCTTCATTTTTCACTACTTCATTCGGATGTTTATCGTAGTGATCATCTGCGGAAATAAATTGAGAGGTAAGTAAATTCAATGTACTTATATGTAATCATCAGCAATCGTGTTCAAGACATTTCATTCTATTTTTGATATCATCATATAAGACTACTAGGAAAAACACTGCCGCCATGCAAGAAGAACATACCTTCCACTGTTTTTCCTAACATGTGTCACAACTACGTACATAATTGCGTCTAATGTGCAAAAATTAAATCCGATTAGCAGATCAATGACAAAAATGGCCGTTTTGCGTAATGGAAAAGATTTTTCCCTACATAGGGTCCCGCACAAAATGTATGCCATAGAGAATTTTTCACAATGTATGCACATATTTTTATTTAAATCTTTTCGCGCAAATAGGGTTTATACTACAACAAACAAACATACATACTACAACAAAAAATAATATTTCTAAACTTTGTGCAAGGGGCGGGTAGATTCAATATATGTATATATGTTTTGAAAATGAAATTTTGTAGCCCATTGTTGAACATGCATTGTATGAAATAATCTACGTGACACTCTCAGCAAAAAACTGCCAGAAAACAACGCGATTTTCATATTTAATTTTCATAAATATTTAATATTGTTTATCATTTTAAATATTTTTTTAATATAAAGTTGTAAATTCTTATGCAAACTTATTGAATTTTCCTGAGCCTTTCACAAAGTTTAAAAGCTTTTATGTTTTTGTTGTAGCATAAACTTTATTTTTGTAAAAAAAATAGCATAAAGAAATGTAAATAAAAAACTTTGCATACCTGGTGAAAAATTCCCCACGACAATAATTTTGTGCGGCACTGTACATGTATGTATTCTAGGCTGGGACGATGTTGTAACCCATGCCGCGCCGTTGAAATTATGATACTTCTCGTTATTACAAATAAAAAATTATTCCACGACATTTTTATGGAACATGTTCGGTTTATATAGATTTTTCAAAGCACTCTCATCGACAAAAAAATATAAAAAGTATTATCGTTTTCGAGATTTTAAGGTTTGAAAAAAATGCACTCCCTTAAATGAAATTATCTGGTAACAACGATTACCAGTCTCAAATTTCCTTTCATATTACTAAAGTAAGTTGAATTTCTTATTGTCTATGTAAGCAACATTTTTCCACGGGATTGCCGGTTCAAGACCAATTCATGAACTTATCTTCAATTTAAGACTTAATAAACCGGAAGTTGGTAATACGAACCAAAAATAGAGCATCATCGACTTGGTAAGTAATATTTTTGTGTCTTCTCCATTTTAGAAGCGGTGTACGGGTGGTCATTGTTATTTTTGTGAGTATCTAAAAAAATGTAATTCTTCGTACAAATATAAGCTTTCCATGTAGCATTAGTACATTAGAATTGTACGAACACAGACGAAATAAAATTTCCAAATGCACCGAAATTTGCATATATGCGAAACCCTATGCACAACATTGTGATTAGCCTTATGTATTTGTAAGTACTTTTACTTAAGTACATAACAAGGGAGTTTCTGTATTTTTAAACGTTCATATTTTGGCGTTCAAGAAAAAAATGCAGGTAAAGATTTTTTTTCATGTTGATATTTACGTCGAAAGACATTTTCTTTAGAAATATTGTTACAAATTATGCAAAGTTGTCGATAAATCTATGAGTAGCTCCTCACCAGCAATCTAGTTAGAAAATGTTGCTAGCATATTCAAATTCAACTAGCTTTATTTATATGAAATGTGAGATTGGCCGGATACGTTTAAATATAATTGCATTCGAGTGCGTGTACTTTTTATCACATCTCAAAAAAACAGAAATTTGGCCATTCCCCATACCTCGCCCGGCCTAATGTATGTGTACGGTGACCAAATTTTTTAAGTAAAAAGAAGGTACAAATTTTCATATGCTTATATTCTGGAAAGGCACTTAATTGGAACCGAACGGTTGAAGAAACGTTATATGTAACCCAACAACATACATATAAGTAGTTTCTTGGCTGTGCAGAGCTTTTAAGATTTATTGTTTTCTTCGAATAACAGTATGGTGGTGGTCGGACGAAACCACACCTAAGAGCAAAATGAAAATGGGCTCAAATTTGAGCTATTTTAGTACGGCGGGAATTAGTTGATAAAGTGCATGCCGAATGTGATTTGAAGATTGAATGCCTACCGTGATAAGCGGCACTACGACGTGATGAGCCTTATAAGCATCGCATGCAAGATCTTAGCGAGCGATTATCTGAAATGCTAAATTCTGCCGCCAACTAACTGATTGAGCGTTGCCATTGTGGCTTTAGGCTTGGTAAAAAAAAGTTTCATATACGCTTTCAACAACACGACTATCTCTGTCTGAATTGGGAGAACCTCCCCGAACCGTCCAAAGTGGATCCCTATCATGCAATTAATAATAATAGATTGGCGCTTACACATACATATCTGTGTTCGTATGGAAAAGTAGCTTATGTCGAAAGGCTGGCTTTAGTATAAATCGGCATTCGCAGCATACGATTGCGAATGACTCACTGGCGGTGAGCCGTTGAGAACTTTTGGCAAATAAACGTGCAAGAAATAGCTCCGATACTAGCAAGTCAATATACTTATTAAGTCTCATCAAAAAAATCTTTGTCGTTTAAAGAATAAAGGGAATGCCGCATTATACTAAAGCCAGCCTTTCGACATAAGCTACTTTTCCATACGAACACAGATATGTTAGTGGTTGGCCGAGCTTCTCCTCCGATTTGTGGCCTGCGCCTTGGTGTTGTCTCACAAAGGGGAGGGACCACAGTTGCACGCAGGCTCCGAGCGGCGATTATATTTTTATAAGCTGTTTTTCATGGCAGAAATACACTCGGAGGTTTGCCATTGGCTGCCGATGGGCGACCGCTGTTAAGAAAAAACCTTTTTTCTACATTTTTTGCGATGTTGCTTTGATCAGGGCTTGAACCCAGGCCCCGCGGAGTGGAAGCACGGAGTGCTTAGCACTACACCACAGCGGTCGCTATCATGCAATTTCTTTGATCTAATTTCAGAGAATATAATCCGAGCAGTCTCTGCTATGGCTGAGTATAAGTCCCTTCTTTTGTGTAATAACATCAAGACGCACACCACCAATTGGAGGATAATTTCAGTCAAATACAGTGTAGGCTATTGTTATTAGGGATAAAACGATACCATGGAAGTATCGATACCTGTACTTGGAAGTAGCATCGAATGAAAGTATCGATACCTACTAAGTATCGGGCTAAAAGTATCGATAACTACTTATTTCGATATTTGTAACTACAGTCAGTCAATAAAGTTTAGGTACAGCGAATTTTTGACAATACGGGCAACTATTTTTTTAATATTTTATTTTCCGATAATTTTTTATAAAAATATGGTTAATTCTACAATAAAAAACCAAAAAAATTTGAGTTCCAAACCTTGTGCAAAATTAAAGAAAATTTTGCAAAATTTCATTAAAATATTGCACTTTTGGTAAGTCCTAGCTCCCTCATACTTGCACTTTATTATACTAAAATTGAATGGGCAAAAAACTGCATACTCAGCTTTTTTCTAGAGAGCGTAAATAAAAAGTGCAATATTTGAATGAAATTTTGCAGAATTTTCTTTAATTTTGCACAAGGTTTGGAACTTTGTATTTTGGGGGTTTTGTTGTAGAATTAACCATATTTTTATAAAAAATTGGCGAAAAATAAAATATTTAAAAAATAGTTGCCCATATTGTAAAAAATTCGCTGTACCTAAACTTTACTGACTGTATATTAGAATTGTTGGTATAAAAAAACATTATCACATATCTAAGAATTTTTGTCAAAATAACTTATGTGCCTATCATTTTTGATTCTAGACGAATGGTCCTTAATCTTTTTAAGAAAAACTTTAAGTTTTAAAAGATGTTTTACCCGAAAAACAAGAAAAAAGTGCAAAGTCACAGGCCCTCGGACTTTTATAACTTTTTAATAAAAGTCCTTAGAAAAAAGTTATCTTTGGATTTTTATTTTATTTGAAATAAAATAATCGGTCAACCCGGACTTTTATTTTTTAGGCCAGCAATAACGTTAAACTTGGCCAAATATTTTTTAAGTTCGAAATAAAAGTCCTTTCCTAATAATAAACAAAAACAGAGATCCCACGATTGCCGCAATACACCAATTATTGCCTCATTTTATGCCCCAATCGTGTGATTTCACAATAAATTGACTCATGCGGCAATAGAGGCCGATATTGTGCTTACTAATCAAATACAACCCACTTGCGGCAATCGTGTGATAGCTCGATTGGCAATCATGGGGCAATGAAAATTTCAAAATTGCGGCAATATTTATTGTGTTCTTGTGCGGAAATTGAAGTGAACAACACACAACAATATTTAGGCGGTTTATTTAAAATTTACTTTTTTGCTTCCTTCTATGTCCAAAAATCACTGAAATGAATATCATTGTTTTCGGAAGCAACATAACTTTTAATTTAATTTGTATTCAAATTAAAATTTTTCTTGAAGTCCGATGGCGGAATCTTTGCTGCGATATATACCACCACAAGCAAAACTCTTACGAGAAGAATACGAAATATATTTTATGTCACCAATTGGCAAACTGCCATGACAGTATAAATTTATTTAAAAAAAAACTTAAAAGTTCAATACAGCCCAGACGGAACGGTAGAACCTCAACATTTTGACCAGTTTTGACTATTTTTCTTCTATTTGTTTAGTGTTCATTATTTTTCTATAAAAGTATAGCTCATTGTCTAACAAAACCGTATAAATTGCAAGCTTTATACAAAAATTATATAAATTTCTTAAATTTTTGAACACAATTGCACGGTTTTTAATTTCGATTTTTAGAAAAAAAAATTGTTATTCAGTTTTATAGCTCATTAAAATTTAGTACAATAAGGTGCAAGTTTGAAATTGCTAAAAAATCCTGTCGATTTTTTATAATTTTTTTAGCAGGCGGTATTATGCACTTTCTTCTATGCAAATTACTTTGTAAACAGCATAACAAATTCTTTTCTGGAAATCCAAATT